GAGGACTTTGGCCGGAGGCGCCACATTTATGTTTGGCCCGCGTGCAGAAGAAAACGTCATGACATTCGAGAGGGGCAGAGAGAGAGCAAGCTTGCTACCGAATCACCTTTCCACGATTCCCTTTCGTACTCGTGACTCTACGGAAAGGGAAAGCTGACGCAAGCGTTCGATTGCAGCTTCAGCGCAGAGCCGAGCCGAGCCGAGCCGAAGAAGCCTTCATCGTGATCTTGTTCGTTGTTGCTGAGCAACCCTGCTGAGATTCGAATGATGAGAGCATTCACGATCATGGATGGTATGCGCAAGTCATGAGTGTGTCCTGAACGGCCCACCAGGGAAATCGCATTCAGAGTCAAGGTTCTTCAGTCCGGTCTAGAATTGGGTGAGAGGTATATAGCCATCCAGTCACGATCGAGTTTTGAGTCGTGAGTCACGAGTGAGTGCAAGTCCCACCGATCGATCGGAGTAATTTCCCGATGCGTCACGGTGAGGTACCACCACATCGCCCACCAGCACCAGCACGCGCACCAGCAGCAGCACGCGCACCAGCACCACCAGCACGCACGCACCAGACGGCTATGAACACGTCACCGAGGGCCGGAAATTTTCGTCCCACATTCAGATTCACGAAATGTGGACTCACAGCAGCAGCAGGACAGTCATGCAGGCGTCGGGGCCCTCCTCCACGACGAGGAACGCTGCGCGTCTAGCGAAGCTCACATCTCGAAAGCCAACGCCTGCCTGCCTGCCTGCCTGCCTGTTAGTCAGTCCCCCCCTTGCTCTCATTGCTGATCCGGAGACAGCGCATCTCCAATTCGTGAAATGCTGGGAGCGAGAATGAGAAGAGCAGGGCTGGCTTGCAAGTTCCTAGCTGATGACGAGCAGAGATCGTCCGTCAATCGTGAATGGAGGCTGATGAGTTTGGACCTTGGCGGGACGCTATACGTACCTCGGCGTGTGTGCTCCGGATTGAGCGCTTCGGGCATGCAGGCCAACGCTTGAAAGCGATTCATCGAAGCGGCCACGGATGGGCGAAATGATTGCTGCAAGCAAGCGTTCAGGTGCCCAATCATGAAATGAACATTTGTGATTTGATCGGTGCATGGGAGGCGTGCATTCGCCATTGTGATTATCCACCATTGTAGGGCGATGGTGGTGCCAGCATTCGTGATTCACGCTTCACGGTTCCCGGTTCACGATTTACCACGTACGACTCACTACCAGCTGACATCGCATCGCAGCAGCACTCGGCGGCTCGGCGGCCCGTGTTTGCTCATTCTGCTCCACAGCGTGTATGCTTCACATTTTCGCTTCCACGACGGCTTGGCAATCAAAAAGGCTGAGCAACACCGACCAGGATCAGTTGGCTTATAAGACAGCAAGCACACCCACCTACTCCCTTCACCAGCCTACCCTTCTCAGCCTACGTTCACATTGCTAACCAGCACATCCCTGCTCGCCAATCGCAACCTCGTCGGACTCGATCAGGCATCGAGCAGACATCGAGCAGCCTCTGCACAAGGAACTCCGCGTCGTAGGCCAAATCCACGCAGCCTCACCTCAACAGTGGTACCATGAAGCTTGAAGATGCGTCGAGCGGGTCCCTCGGACCGGTGATCGAGGTGATCCAAAGCATCTTGAATCGGACTGGCTACATTTTGCCTGCATTGCTGCTCTTCATCATCGCGCTCGCCATCAAGTACCCCAATCGTCTACCAGGTACCATGTGAGTCTTTGTTGATGACAATCAGCAGCGCATACATTGCGTTTTCCGAGCTCAGACCATCCATTCTGTCTCACAGCGATCCGAAATATCGACCTGGAGTGTATTTCCCACCAGGCGCAGACCCTCTGATCGGGCACACGCGGATGATCGTAGGCTTCGGCAGCGAAGGTCAATTTGAGAACTTCAAGGCGCTCAGCGATGCCACACCGGCCGGATCATGGAACGTGAGCTTCTTGGGAACCTCTTCGATGACCTTTGTCAACAGGCCCGAGTACCTCGAGTACATTCAAAAGACCAACTTTGACAATTTCCCAAAAGGCAGCCAGTTTACTGGACGACTGGGAGATCTGCTCGGCGTGACGGGGATTTTTGTGGCGGATGGTCATCCTTGGAAGACGCAGCGCAAGCAAGCTAGGTGAGTTGCGTGCCGGCTGCTTGGAACCTGACCCAAGCAGCCTGAGACCTCGTACTGACGACTGGCGTCGCGTCTCCGTCCCGTAGCCACATGTTCTCCAACCGCGAGTTCAACACCTGGGTACGAGCCGTCATTCACAACGAACTGGACGACATCAGCGCTCTGCTTGACAATGTTACCACCAAGAATGGACCAGGCAAATTGATCTTGCCCGAATTGATGTTTCGATACACGCTATCCAGTTTCGCCAAGATGGCCTTCGCAGCGAATCTCAACTGTTTGTCACCCGATCCCGACTCCCTCGAGCGTCCTGTGCCTTTCGCAGTGGCATTCGACCGAGCGCAGGCCATCATCAACGACCGCTTCATCACTCCCGGATGGTACATTTGGGAAAAATTCAACAAGACCGGCAGGGACATGCGTTCTTCCATCAAGACGATCAGAGAATTTGGTCTGGACATTATCCACAAGCGCTTGGCTGAGCGTCAAGACGAGAAGAAAGATCCATTGGCACCGGTCGAAGGTACCAAGAAGGAGCAGCTCAAGAAGGAGGGCAAAGACTTGCTGGACTTTTTCATGGATCTCACCACCGATCCCGAGGAGTTGCTCATCGTCGTGCTCAACTTCATCATCGCTGGACGCGACACCACTGCTCAAAGTCTCAGCTGGCTCTTCTACGAGCTGATGGCTCATCCCGAGCACGTGCCAAAGATCCGCAAGGAGATCGCGGACAAGTTTGGCGAGCCAGAGGGAGGGGTGCGTCTGGATTACGAGAGCTTCAGAGAATTGCCATATACTGTTGCATGTCTTCACGAAGCTATCCGACTGCACCCAGCTGTGCCCAAGAATGGAAAGGCGGTGACGAAGGATGACGTCATCATTCCCCAGGGACCCAACCCGGACAATTTGCCGCCAGTACGAGTGTTTGCGGGCGAGCGCGTTGGCTGGTCAGACTGGGTCATGGCGCGCACGCCAGCCATTTGGGGTGCAGACTGCGAAGAGTACAACCCTTCTCGATTCCTCGAGACGGACGAAACGGGCAAGTTGCACCTCAAGAATTTCGGTCAATGGAAGAGCCACTACTTCAATGCTGGACCGCGACTCTGCTTGGGCATGAACCTGGCCACTTACGAAGCTACCGCCTTCATCGCTGCCGTCTTGCCACGCTTCGACTTCGAATGGGCCACTGCTGCCCAGGGTCAGAAGAGCGCTTGGCCCCCTCAATACGCCAACAGCGTCACTCATCCCATCAAAGATCCTTACCTCGTCAACGTTACGCGCAACAAAGCTTGACCCCCTCCTTCCCCAACGCTACAAGGATGCGCTTATTTTGTACATTTGCACCGACCGCTCTTGCCGTTTTAATGAAGGAATCGCTTTCGCAAAGAAGTGTGGCGCTGACTTGTACTCTCTGCGCCTGTTGAATATGAAAAAGGAGGGCGAGTGAATGCGGTATGTAGAACAAAAGGACACCGATTTGCACTGCCTTCGCCGTCATCTCGACGATGGTCCAAACGATTCGGAACGAAAAGAACATCTCATTTCGCTGAAGTTTGCGGCGCTCCCGCAAATTTTGCGATTTGATTCCGTCGAGTGTGAAAAGGGATCCGGGGTAATGGGAATGCGGGGGTGGTGTATTGAGGTGGCTTTGAGGCCGCAGGCCTCGTGTCGGGGCCTTGTATTGGGCCGCGAGCAGTGCGGAGGTGTCCCGGCATTACGTACCACAAAGCGCACCTTGCACTAAGGCACCTTTAAGCACCACTGTAAAGAACCTCTCATCGAGCTGCAGCAGCTCGATTTGATTCACATTCACATTGTGTGGCACTTGCGAAGGTCGCGTGGGGGCCAATTTGGAGGCACGGGAGGCGGAAGCAGTTTCAATGTGAGATTGCAAAGAAGGGAGCAGCAAGCTTTCGATGGAATGCGCGCCGCGCCCTTCGAGAAGCCCCGCACGACCCCCCAAAAGCGCAGTCGTGCCCATCGACGTGCTCCCACTGCCTCCTCCCGGCCAAATCTCCATGCCGTGCCGTACAGGCCCCAGCCCGGCACAAGCAAGGCATGTCGACGCGCCATCGGGGTCTCGTTCCTTGCTTTGCGATCAAAGCTCATCGCTTGAGTTCCACGGGCGTTATATTGCCCCACCCCGCTAGCCTTCTCGACGTCATGGCCAGCGAGCGCACTCCACTTTCCCAAACACAAGTTGAGACGGATGCTTCTGATCAACCGTGAGTGATAAGATTTGAATGATTGGTGACTGTGAACACCAAGAATGTATCGTACAGACTCTTTGACAACCTGAGACCTTCTTGTGTAGCATCCACGCCAACGGTGCAATCTTCTGACACAATGCGATTGCTTGCTCCAAAGACAAGGTACATTATTCGTGCTTGTGCTTATATTTGAAGGCGAGAGCACCGTAGAGGCTGTTCTCCGCAAGCGCACCAACCTGGCGCGCTTGACGTGGCGGGTCACCGCACAGCAGCGCAGAGCAGAAGAAACGTCGTGTGCGTGCGTGCTTGATCCGTCATCAGCTGCGCTAGACTCGTCCCGAATCCCAGGAAAATCTGCAGTCTTAGCGCGATGCAGAGGCGAAGCTCGCTGCAGCTCGCTTAGACATTCAGAAATTGAGCTCAGTCGTACCCTCACGCACGACTTCTGTACTCGTGATTGTACGCTGTGCCTAGCGACCTTCTGTGCGTCCCAATGTGTGAGCGAAGCAATGCTGATGCCGAGAGTCGCTGAAGCCAAGATTTTGAGTAGGCTGGCCAGACGACTGACTTTCCCCGACCAAGATCGTCGTCTTGTGCGCCTGACTCGGATGTTGGCGTGGTGCGGAAGTATATGAACCTGCAATTGCCTCCTTTGGACGGTGAACGACACGCAGGATACGTACATTATCTTTGCGCAACCTCGCCCGCCGTAAGCCTGTCTTGGCGATGCTTTAGGACTGCTTCTGCCGAAAAGCCGACGGTGCTTAGTGGGGCTCATGCAAAGATGTGATCGACATGATGCTCGACAAATCTGCAGCTCTGATGAAAGTCGACCGACCTCCTCATCTATGCACAAGCCGCTTAAACTTCACAGTGACGAGCGAGGCGGGATGCAATGGCACTAAATTGTGAGACGCAGAAGTTGCAGCCATCATGCCGTATCTAGCGTTGATTGATGAGCAAACATACAGCCCATCGTTCGTGATTTGAGACTTTGTGACGGCATACCGTCGCATTCGTGATTGCCGTCTCTAGCTAGCCTGCAGCAATCGTCGTGAATGGTCAACGAATCGAACTCCAACACCAGCCGCAACCCTTTCACACCCCGATGGTGCAGCAGCAGCAGCTGCAGGCGGTGATGCAGCTGAGCTTAGCGCGCGAGTCGGTGTTGGGTTACTCCATCGCTCGTGTGCATTTGCACGCATCCCTCTGCTTGGCTCTCTGCTGATAAATGCTCTGTAGGTACCACTACTCTCCATAACACCAGAGCAGGGTCCTCGGTCTGCACTTGTGCGCTAGCGTGCCGATATCAGGTCATCGACACTTTTTTCTCCTTCGTCGAGAGCCAAGCATGAAGTCAAGAAGTCATGCGCCCGTCTGCTCGCCAATCATGTTGACAAAATGCAAGCGAGCCACCGGCCGGCAAGGAAGGAGCAGCTACTGCCCAGCTGACACGGTTCGTTTTCAGCTCGCATCCAAAGTTTCAATGAAAGATGTCCTCGCATTGTCGCTTGGACGATTTTGGTGCGCGGCCTGTTGGATGCACGACCACTGCTAGGAAACAGTGACCAGTGCACAGGCATACCGACCACCAGCTGGTCTGTGGACATTGGACACACACAATCCCCGAATGTCCGGAGTGGAGCACCTTCACTGATTCCGACATTCATATTGACATTGCGACGAGCACTGCGCATTGGCCTCCCGGGTGCGCCCCCCTGCCCCCTTCTCACCGCTCTTGATGTCATGCCGCGCTTCCCATCACCAGTCCTTGTCTTCTGTCTGGCGCTCAAGCCTTTCTCAATTTCTCTTCCGTCTCCTTTCCAGCTCTGGCCTCGCCTCGATTCTCTACTGATTACCCACGGCTTTTGCCGTGCCCTCGCTTTTGCCGTGCCCTCTGTAAGATTGGTCTGACTCATAGATAAGCTTCGAAGCAATTGCAAACGCCCCAAAGGAATCACCCCTTTCGCGACCAACGACAACAGTAGCTCCAACTCAGGCAGCTGATTCGAACGCCGGACGCTGCAGGATTCATTAAATCGGGACATTACCCCTGCGCGCTCCCTACCGAAAGGAGCTCGACCCTCAGCTGATCAGACACGACGAATTCGTCAAATAGCCGGGCCGCACTCACGGCCCACGTCGTCTTACTCGCTTCCATCCGTTTCAAAGACCTCTTCATCGCCCCGGCGCTGCGTTGTCTTTCACCCATGCTCTCCCGAACATCAGCAACGCAGCAAGCCGTCGCTCCAATGCGTCGCGCGCACAGAATCAGCTTTGAGCCTCGGCCGCAGCGCTATTCACCTGCAAGGCGTCACACCGTCCTTCATGTGGTCATTCTACTCCTCACAATCAGCATTGGATCCCTTTTAGCGTCCACACTTCCTTCCACAAGTGCCGATTGGCATCGCGAGACTGGTCAGCGACGCGTGCTTAGCGATGCGTCCGTGACGCGAGATAGGCCTCGCATGCAAGCTCGACGACAAGATGGCCCGCTCGCAGATGTCTCGGTGCAAGCCAATGTCAACTTGTCGACTGAGGTAGACGTGGGAAACGATTCTGGTGTGGACGTCTCCATCACGACGCAATTAGGGTCGAACCGCAACCTCGTCCTCAACACCACATCAGGACTCTTCAGCGGCGCGTACGACAAAGACCGCAAGCAGTACCGATGGCTCGCCATTCCGTATGCAGCCAGTACAGCGGGAGACAACAGGTGGAAACCTGCTCAACCGTTCGTCCCATCAAAAGCTTTGCTGAAGACTCCAAGGCCAGCGACATCTTTTGGACAAAGCTGCCCTCAATTTGTTACGCGCGCTTCACAGACCGGTCTGGCTTGGTCCGGCACCGTTAGTCCCTCTAACCAAGGCGAGGATTGCTTGTCCATTTCCATCTTCACCAGCAGTGCAGTGCGTCAAAATGCCACCCGACCCGACGACGCTGGCAGTCCCATCTTTGTCTGGGTGAGTGGGAAGCTGGAACATCGATTCTCGGTGCATTTCGACTGATCGTGGCACTGCCTTTTTTTCTAGTTATACGGAGGCTCGTTCTTGTTTGGTTCGCAGGAAAACAAGCTCATCGATCCTGCTCCAATTCTTGCAAGACACCCCGACGTGGTGTTCATCACCTTCAAGTGAATTCGTCATTCCTTGCATCTATGGAGCAATTTCCGACGTCTCACACGACCGCGTTGCTGCACCTGCGCAGCTACCGCACGAATGCCTTTGGCTTTCCTCAAGCTCCCCAGCTCGAGGAGCAAAACTTGGGCCTGCACGACCGTGATTCTGCTCTCGATTGGATTCGAGCAAATGCGCGTTCTTTCGGAGGCAATCCAGATCGCATCACCCTGGCGGGTCAGTCAGCCGGTGCCGCAGCAGTCGACAGCTGGGCTTTCGCGCATAGCGGAGAGGATGGGTTGCCGTCGCACGAAGGGACTGGAGTGCAAAGCTTGATCATCCAATCCGGCGCAGTCTCGGGCCTGGGACAATATGTCGAGGCGCTCGGTGGCCGTGCAATGGCGAAAGCTGAGCCTCAGTGGAGCGCTTTGGTCG